CTATTTATAATTGAAATCTGGCTGCCTATGACTCTTCATAGACCGGTGATGCCCATACACAAGCATCTTCTTCTATGCTTTGGTCGATCACCCAGTTATCCTCTTTCTTATCCCCACCTACATTGCATCTCATTTTTTTGGAAGAGAGAACGGACACTCACCTTTTTTTAATGTGGAGGAGACTTAAGAAGCGTTGTTCCGAAAGAAATAATCTGTAGGAGCAATCCTTAAATTTCAGTCTAACCATACTTATGGAATTAGGTTTGGAATACTCTTGAATATGGTCATAAGCCAATGATTTACCGATTCTGAGTTCTGGAAAGAGGAACTGGAGAAGCTAACTCAGCTGTCTTCTGGAAACAGATATCCAGAAGAAACAGTACAGCGCAAATACGGATCGTAGTTAGTAGATGGAAGGACGGGAATTATGAGAGGAAAGCAGGGGAAACAGGAAAAACGATGGATGTTTCTATGCTCCCGCGAATTTGCTCAAAGGTCGCGGCCGATACTACTGAAACGCAACAACACTCTTCACCAACTTGCTCACACAACATGAAGGAATCAGCAAAATGGAGTGCTCCGGAGCTTACAGCATAAACTACAAGGACTGTAAGTAAAAGTACGTAAGAAAGACTAGAAGGTCAATCGGTACAAGGATCAAAGAACACCAGCAACTATGCTGAAAAATGGATACGGAAAGATCGGATATAGCTGATTACATCGCCCTTACCGGCCACACAATTGAGTGGAATTCAACGTAAAGACTGATCTCATATGGGGATAAGTCCTAGAACTATGATATCTGGGAGGCTGAGGACATTCTCTTTCAAAAGACTTGATGAATAGGAGAATGGAAGAGGGAATCTTTAGCGATAATTTCACGTACTGCCTGGACAGACTTCAGTGAGGACTGGTAAAAGAAGATGCTTAGATCAAGGACAACTATTCATTAACATGAAGATACACTGGCAAGGAGGGGAGCAAAAAGAACGAAAGAAATTCAAGAAAAGACCATTGCTATAAAAGGAGTCAACTTTGAAAATTTACCTGTGTGGGCCTTTCTGTGGGATGTGGGATAGAAAATTAAAGACCATAAATGGGCAATTTATACTCCATTAGGAGTGCTAGGCTTCAGGTGTAGGTATGTCAGTGATACGCCCCCAGTCTATGTGTGTGTGTTTTTGAGAAATTTCCAGATGTATGCCATTAATGATAGGTGACTGATGACATTCCTGGCCAAAAAGAGGGGGATAAAAACCAATTAACACATGAACAACTGATTATTGCCATAGGATTAGATAGGACTGTCAATCTGAGAGACAGATAGAGTGTGCTTTACTTCATTCACGAGTGGAAAGGGGAAGTGGTAGATTTTCACTCCGGACACAGGGTCCCAAAGAATGAGATGCAATGTAGGTGGTGATGAGAAAGAGAATAACTGGGTGATAGAGGGGAAGATACTTAGGTGTAAACAGGGACGGGAATTGAACAGTCATGATCAGCCAGACAGTGATTTTAGGGTGTATCAACGACCAATTGACAAGCGAGGTGGAAGGTTTGCTGAATGAGAATGATAAACCTTGCAAACGGCATCTTAAACCGGTGGTGAGGATGTTTATGCCTCACTAAATCCACTTGTAGCAACACACTTAGGTGAAATTGGAAGAAACGGGAACAAAAAAATGTGTAAATAGCGAGTTGGGCCATATAAAGTGGGGTTAGGAGAAATAGATGTAGCAAGAGGGTAGGTTAAAAAATAGGGGCAGAGTGATGGTATATCGATTGAACAAAAATTCGTCAAGGATATTGAGGAAGAGGTGCAGCACTAGAAGGTAGGACAAATACTAGGACGAGGGTTGGTGCTACAACGGTTAAACATAAAATTGGTGAAGAGCATTGCCTTCTTATCACTTTGATAAGTTGCAACTTTGCCTTTCTCACTAACGATACCGGCGATACGTTTGGGAATCTACCAAATCAATGGTCCGATGCTGGAAATCACGAATACTATATCGAAGGACGGATGACTAAATACGTTTCATGTTGTCTTCCTGATAGTCAGACCAAGTTTCGAAAACCAAGTCGAACCAACACTGTAAAGCCAAAGGAGACTGTGACTAAACAGAAGGCCACACCATCTTGGTTTTCATATATACGATCTAATTTAGGTTGCAAATCACCCATCCAATTAACTTCTCTAGACGGCTCGGTTCTTAAAAGCTAAGCCCTCATGCTAGCTTTAATTGATCTATTTATATCCATTAATGTTATTCAGATGAGTTTTTTAATAATAGTTTCTAATTGAGATGACTAATTATAATCATCACTCAACCTCAAAACAGAATTTTTGTATCTTGTTTGACTTTTTTAGATCAGGACCAAGCAGATTTTTATTTGGCTGGGCATCACTATGATCTTGCGAGTCAGCTCAAAAATGAGGTTGGTATCATTATTCATGCCATTTATTAGCTCACAATCAGTACTAATTTATAAATTGTTGATTTATAAGTCACTTATCTTGACTTTCCGCCCTTATTTATATTGGACTATATCGCTCCCTCTACTTGCACTGAACTATTCACTTAATAATCTTTGACACTTTCTTGTCTATTTGTAGTCTGCTTCATCTCGTCCACTCAGTCCCATCCGGAAGGCTGTTATGGCTCTCGACGATAGTCTTGCTGCTGTAGCTAGTGGAGCTAGTGTAGCTATATCTTGTCTTCAAGCTGAGGAGGCTAGGTGCAGTTTGCTCGATTACATTCCGCCGACTAGTCGACTAGCCAGCCCCGATATAGACGAATCGAGCTGCGTGTCTTCCATGCCTCGTAACACTGGCTCATCAGGTAGGGGAACTTAGCTCTTTTCTCCTAAAGCTTATAACTCGTGGTATGAAGACCAAGATGGTGTGGCCTTTTATGTGGTTGCAGTCTCCTTTCGTTGTATATAAGTTGTTTGACCCTGTTTTTGCAACTTGGTGGCATTGGTATGAAGACTTAGAGGAACGTATCAAGTCCGGAGTCAATTTTATGCATGCTAATTTTCAAAGTAGGACCGTGGACGTGGTATTTTCCCAGACGTTTCGCCGGCATCGTCAGTGAGTCTCGCCATTCGTAGCACCATAGTACAGCTCGTCAAAGAGACAAGTGAAGCCCAACCTTAGACCAAATGTGTTCTAAACAGTTGTGGTACCTTCCATTCTGCCCTATGTTATTCACATTTCCTATATCCTCCTATCACGCCTTCCCTGTCACAATTTTTACTGTGCTTATTTTGATGTAGTGTGGTGTGCGGCTTCAAGCAGCCTTCATAAAAACCATTCACACTCCACGCTGTCGTTCTCACCCTAAAAATGTCGATCAGAGTCTATCATATTGTTAGGTAGTTCTTCCCTGGGTCCTGCCCCGTAGCTATTTCCCTGGTACACGTATTTCACTCGACCCCTGTCTTCCCGTCTGTGCTACTCGAGGCGTTATTCGCCCACCCCTGCGTCTGGGTGACTAATTCGAGGCTGAAGCCTCTG